GGTCGGTCATGATCATGAACATGGACGAGATGGATGTGCCAAATTTGCTTGACACCACGCTCTGGGTGATCACACATCATTGGACATGCTTTGACGACAGTACCAAGCAACAGGCTCAAGAAGTCCTCGACGCCCTTTCCAAGACGAATGGTCATGATCTTGTCAAGGCAACGGCCTCGATGACGACTTTTAATCATCTCCCTGATCTGGCTGAACACCGCAAGCGTCTGGGTCTTCTGTCGCAGTCGGGATTAACTCGTCAAGATCTTTTTCGCGCATTTTGCCGACGACTGAAACACGACCATCCGGGCGTCATTGAACAAGCTTTGACCGAACTCCTTGAGTTATTGCGGCAACATCAAGACTATATCCAGGCATCCGCTCTTTCTGAACAACCCAAATCGTTCATTCCAGGACTTACACGCTCCGTTCTTGATTGCGCAGCCAAGTACAATGGTTGGCAGCCTGGGATCATGCGCCTCTGTGCCGAGTGCATGGGTATCATTGGGTGCCTTGACTCGAACCGCATGGAGAGCAATCGAGAACAGAAACGGTTTGTCGTCAGTCAAAATTTCATGGATTTCAGAGAAACAGCGGACTTCGTGTGTTTCATGTTGGAGAATGTCCTCGTCAAGGCTTTCCTTTCAACTACAGACACGAAGTTCCTGAGCTTCCTTTCGTATGCGATGCAGGAGCTCCTGGCCAAAACGGGCATCAAGCTCGCTTACCAAAGTCAGGGACAGGGCCAACATGAGACATTATACAAGAGATGGCGGAGCTTCAACGACATAACCAAAGAGATTTTAACGCCATTTTTGACATCCGAATTCATCGTTTCGTCTGGTATGATTGGGTTGGACACCAGTTACCCTATTTTCCACCCCCAGAAATCATACGAGACTTGGCTGAAAACGTTTGTTCTCGATCTTCTTCGCAATCCACAGAACCCTAACAGCGCGATTCTCTTTCCACCTCTCTGTCGACTTATCAAGGTCCATGATCCTTGTGTGAGCGAGTTTCTGTTACCCTACGTGGTGCTACACGCCGTTATCGGGAGCGAGGGCCCGTCCCAGACACCAAATGAGAGCCAAATGCTCGTGGGGGAAGAGGGGTCGACCAGGGCCGAGGCCCACGAAAAGAAGGCAAACGGTTCAGAATGGAGGAAGAAGGTAATGTCTGAGCTTAAGACTATTTTGGAGTATCAACCGCCGGAATCCGCCACGCATTCCGAGAAAGAGGAAGTCAAGCTTTGCTACGAGGTATGTACATGTTCTCATGACTGTATTTTACTGTTACTGACCAAAGTAGGCCGTGTTCCGCATTCTTGACTACTTTAAAAACTGGTTACACATCAAAAAGTCCCAGTCAGCATCCAAAGAAAAAGATGCGAGGTGGTGTCCATTGGTTGAAGAGGTGCTTTCTTCCCTCGATCCTGAACTAGTTGCTCGACGAGCGATCGACTGTGGGCAATATGCTCGCGGTCTTTTGTTCCTAGAGCCTCACATTGAAAGTCGCAGAGACCAGGCTATAGGTGACGAAGCAACTCGTCTCATGCGATCGGTACATGATATATACACGCAGATCGACGATCCCGATGGGCTAGATGGCATATCCGCGTGCATGAAAGATCTCGGGTTTAAGGAGCAGGCTCTCAGTCATCGCAAAGCGGGTCGATGGACTGCTGCGCAGACCTGGTATGAGATACAGCTGGCTGAATCGCCGGACGATGTCAATCTTCAGCTCGACCTCTTAACCTGCCTCGAGGAATCAGGCCAGTACGGTGAGTGACATCTGCTATCTTTAGGTTGATGGTACATACGGAGCTGACATTGCGTCCAGACAATCTTCTGAGTTTTGCTGAAGGAATTGACAAAACACCAAGCAGTCTGAGCAAAGTGATGCCTTTCGTTCTCGAAGCGTCGTGGGCAACGGGCAGGTGGCAAATAATGGAGAAGTATCTACGATCGTACACCGAGGGCGACGTAACCGATATCTTCAACATCGGTATCGCTGATGCACTGCTCTGTCTCAAGGAAGGAGATGGAGAACGGTTTCAAGAACTTTTGCAGGCAATGCGGGACAAGGTGGCTAGCTCCATGACACTTTCAGCGACATCATCGTTCAGAACCTGTCATGACGTGATGCTGAAGTGTCACGTTCTGGAGGATCTTGAGATGATTGCCAATGCGGAGCCAGTCGAGGGTGAAGGCCATGCGCCTCTTGTGAAGGCTCTAGAACGTCGCTTGGAGGTACTCGGGGCATATGTCAGCGACAAGCAGTACGTGCTTGGAGTCAGGAGAGCAGCAATGGAACTGATGAGGTATGTATCTTGTTTGATCCCTGAACTTATTGAGCTCGTTTCTGATAATTCACTAGGACGAAATTCGGAGACGAAGAGATATCTTCATCATGGCTTGCCACCGCTCGCTTGGCCAGGAAATCTGGTTCGACTCATCAGTCTTTCAACGCAGTGCTACGTGCGCAGCAGCTTGGTGATTGTTCTGCAGTCATAGAGTACGCAAAGTTGTTCTACAAGGACGGCCAGCATCGCAAGGCGATTCAGCTATTGCAACGCGCCATCGACGACGACCTTTTCAACGATGGTATGATGGCGATAGATACCCCAACATCTAGTAAGAATCAGCAGTCTCATCGCAATCTACTGAAAGCCAGAGCCCACTTGCTTCTTGCTAAGTGGCTCGATTCAACCGGTCAAACCCACGCCGGCGCTCTACGCTCCAAATTTCAAGAGGCGGCCAAAACCCACCCGCAATGGGAGAAGGGGCACTACTACCTTGGGCGTCACTACAAGAAGGTTTTGGAGTCCGAAAAGGCGCTCAGCCCAGATGATCAAAGTGACGCCTATTTGACCGGAGAGACCGCCAAGTTGGTTATAGAAAATTATCTGCGCTCACTCAACTTTGGGACCAAGTATGTTCACCAGACCTTGCCACGAATTCTCGACCTATGGCTCGAACTCGGGACTCAAGTCGACGCTCCGTCACTGGGCATGGTGACCTTGTCCGCAGAGCTACAATCACGTCGGAGGACCATTCTCCATGAGCTTTATAAGCATTTCAACAGGCATCTACCCAAAATGCCAGCTTACATCTTTTACACGGCTTTGCCGCAAATTGTGGCTAGAATAGCTCATCCGAACCAAGATGTATTCAGGGTCCTGGAGCAAATGATTATCAAGGTGGTGGAAGCACACCCCCGACAGGCTATCTGGAGTCTCTTCTCCTTCATGACCGGGCGCACGAACGGTGCTCGACGACACAGAGGGCAAAAGGTTTTGGACGACCTCAGAGCCATCGCGAAAAGAGTCGATGAGACAGGCTACGACCTGAAGCAGTTGCTCAAAATGGGCGAGAAGCTTGCCGAGCAGCTCCTTCTGGCATGCAACAAAGGTGACTTCCAGAGCAACAGGACAGTAAAAGCAAGTATTACGAGGGACTTGAACTTCAACCACAAATGCACGCCGTGTCCGCTGGTGGTGCCGATAGAAACGTGCCTCACCGCGACATTGCCGACGTTGACGGACAACACCAGGAAGCACAAGGCGTTTTCTGGGGACGTCATTACCATCGATAGATTCCTTGATGATGTACTGGTGCTGGGATCTCTGGCGAAGCCGCGCAAACTGACGGCACGAGGATCCAATGGACAGCTTTACGGTCTCTTGATCAAACCGAAGGACGATCTCCGCACCGACCAACGTCTCATGGAGTTCAACGGATTGATCAACCGGTCGTTAAAGCGCGATACCGAATCTAGCAAACGGCAGCTGTACATCAGGACATACGCCGTCACGCCATTGAATGAGGAGTGCGGCATCATCGAATGGGTTGATGGTCTGAAAACCCTCCGCGATATCCTTCTGGGCATCTACAAGACGCGAAACATCACACCCAACTACGGGCAAATCGCAGAACTGATGAAGCAGGCGTGCACGTCCGACGACAATCTCCATCTCTGGTCCAGGTCCGTGCTCGGCATGTTCCCCGACGTGCTACCAGAATGGTTCATCTCGCAGTTCCCCGACCCATCAGCCTGGTTCGCCGCCCGACTGCGGTACACGCGCTCCTGCGCCGTCATGTCCATGGTCGGCACTATCCTCGGCCTCGGCGACCGGCACGGCGAGAACGTGCTGCTGGAGGAAGGAAACGGCGGCGTCTTCCACGTCGACTTCAACTGCTTGTTCGACAAGGGCTTGACTTTTGCCCAGCCGGAAAAGGTGCCCTTCCGACTAACGCACAATATGATTGCGGCCATGGGCATCTACCGTTACGAGGGCCCTTTCCGAAACTGCAGCGAGCTGACGCTCAAGGTGCTGAGGCAACAGGAGGAAACGCTGATGACGATTTTGGAGGCGTTCATCCATGACCCGACGCTGGATCTACAGAGGACCAAGAAGCGGACTCATGATGTGGTCAAGCTGAATCCGACAAGCGTGGTGGAGAGTATCAAGCGAAAAGTCAGGGGGTTGTTGCCGCATGAGAAGATCCCGTTGGGCGTGGAGGGTCAGGTGGAAGAGCTCATTAAGCAGGCTACGGATCCGAAAAACTTGGCTGCTATGTATATTGGATGGTGCCCGTTCTTGTAGTGTGATCAGCGTATAGAGAAAACAGCCCGACGGGGTAGTTGGAATGTTTGCGAATGGAAGTGTGGGAAAGGGGAGGACGGAAGTTGTTGTTGTTGACATCAGAAGCTCTTTGGCTGATACCTAGCGCTACAGTGGGGTGCTACAGTGCTACAGCGCTGGAAGGGCAAATAGAACAGATGGCAAGTGCAAAGGGGTGCCAACTCACCCTGCTCCTTCCTTGTGTTTCTGATTGCCCACGCCTTGTGCCCTAATACCAGAACTGATTGTCTAAAATGATTGACGACAACAATTCTTTACCGTGGGCAAGTTCTCCCCGCAACCCATTTTGTACGGGTTTCGACGAGCATCATTCAGTTTGTTGTTGGCGACGGTGAATTTGTTGGCATTTCCAGGTATCTTCTCTAGCAACCAAGTTATCCACCAAGTAGCCGAGAGGCAATCTGAACAGCAGACAGCTACCGCCCTGTACGCGGTAAACCCCATTCACCTCTCCGCGCCCGAACATCCACCCATCATTCTCTGGCCGTCTGTCTCGACAAGTCTTTCTCGCGTCCATTCCAACACAAACGCGTTTTTGATCCGTCGCAAACGCATCCAGGATTTCAAGTTTACACTTCACATCGGCTACACCTCCATTGGGTTTGAACTCTTTGTCAATCAAAACCTTTACGTTAGGTCTCTTTCTTCGGCTCGCCGAAAACCAGGCCATTTCACCTTGTCTGTGCGCCCACCTGTCATCTTGCCCTCTCATCCAACTTGCCGAACAGACGACAACATAGGCCTTTAACATGCCTTACCGTATTGGTGAGTTCTCACTGCCTGACATGATGTCACATTATCTCGCCCTTTTAGAGCTTGAAACCTTGGAGAGTGGCTTTTTTGACCTTCAAACTTCTTCTGTGATGCTCCTCCGGTTTTGAATGTCAAAATCCTTGACAATATGACATCAACACCGTCCACCCCATCGAATTGTCAAGCACATACACGGCCAACCCGACAAGAGACAGGAAACACCACCTCTTTCCATCATCGAACCTGCCCGTAGTTGTCTCTTGTCTTCTCAAACGCGCAGCCTCAATGCATAACCATCTTACTTGGTCATTCACAACCGCTAACCCACTCTCCCAGAGGTTTCCAAAAACAACCGTGCCGGTTGCAAGGACTCGGTCTGCAAGAAGGAAGCAGTCAAGATCACCAAGGGCGAGCTCCGTCTCGGAACATGGGTTGAGATCAACGAGCATGGCGGCTGGCAGTGGCGTCATTGGTAAGAAGAGAACTGGACCTAAACCTCGGTGACCGGTCGGCTTGGCCTTTGATCACCTTTCCCTGGACTTTGAGATGGACTAATATGTGCTGTTTGAATCTTTAGGGGCTGTGTCTCGGGAGAGCAGATCCTGAATATGCGCAACATGCTCGATAAGGACGGCACTGGCGACTATCAGTGGGATATGCTTGACGGGTGGGAGGAGCTTGAGTGAGTTCTGCTTTCTGTTGAAATTTCGTTCTGCTTTCGTTAGCTGCCGATCAACTGACAATATGCGCGTCAAGAGAGTTCCCCGTGCTGAGGGAGAAGGTTCAGCGGGTCATCACTCAGGGACACATCGACCCCGAGGACTTCAAAGGCGTGAGTATATTCAGCGACCGTTCCTTAGTTCCAGCTGAGGTAGAATGCCCCTTTGCTGACATTACCTTTCTTTATCAAGGACCCCGAAATGAACATACTCGGTCAGAGAGGCATCCACTCCAAAAAGAAGAAGGCTAAGGCATCCGAGGACGACGAGGAGGAGGTATGCTTATTCATCAATGCTCTGATCTTTTTCTTCCCGCTGACACGTAATGCTTGCTCCCCACAGGACACCAAGCCTGCTGCCAAAAAGCCCGCCGCTAAGCGTGGCCGCAAGAAGGCCGATGCCGATGAGGACGATGAGGAGAAGCCCCCTGCTAAGAAGGCCAAGAAGGCCGGAGGCAAGACTGCTACCGTCAAGAAGGAGGAAAGTGATGTCGAGGAGCAGGAGGCCGAAGAGGAGAAGCATATTACCAAGGTCAAGGGCAGGGGTAAGAAGGCTGCTGCCGCCGTCAAGAAGGAGGAAAGCGATGCCGAGGATGTCAAAGAGGAGAAGCTTGCTACCAAGGCCAAGCCTAGAACAAAGAAGGCCGCCGCCCCGGCAGTGAAGAAGGAGGAGAGCGACGTTGAAGACGTCACGGCTGTTGATGAGATCCCTGCCAATGAAGAGAAGCGGGCGAAGCCCGAACCTCCTGCCAAGAAGAAGGCCACCAGGGCTAGACCGCCGCGCGCAGCTCGCAAGGCTGCCATCAAGGAGGAGAGCAGCGACAAAGAGGATGAAGACGAAGAAGAGGAGGAGGAGAAAGAGAAGGAAGTCCCGAAGAAGAAGGGCAAGGCTGCCGCTGCCGCCAAGGGCAAGGGCAAGAAGGCGAAGAAGGCTCCTTCACCTGAACCCGAGTCTGAACACGAGTATGCTCAGCAAAGCGAGGAGGACAACGATGATGACAACGATGTCAACGGGGAGTCTGATGCGGCGGAGGTGGAGGAAGAAGAGAAGGAAGAGAAGCCTGGTCCAAAGGCGAAGAGAGGGGGCCGCAAGGCAGCTGCCGAAAAGCCGGCTGTTAAGAAGCGTGGCAAAAAGGCGTGAGAGGGTTGAAGCTGTTGATGTTATCTTTTTCGGTGTTGAGCAGCAGCAGCAGCGAGCAGACCTGCCTATGCAGTGCTTGTTTCATGCGATGCCATGTGGTTCAGAGAGTGCGGCGGCGCAAGATGCCAGTAAATGTTGGCATGGGTTTTGTTATTTCGGTCAGACATCTCGAGACGTTCTCTCTTTCAGTCAAAGGGCTGGCTGGATCTAGATTACTGTGTCAAAATTCAGCGAGTGTATTGAAAGGACCAATTAAATGTAGGTAATCTCTACTGTAAAGCTCCCATCTTGGTATGTAATCAGCCATGTGGTCCATCAGATTGATAAAAAGATGAGAGTTACTTCAAATTCCGAATTGAATTTTTACATGGACCATTTTCTCTTTACATCTCTTTGTTACCATATCCGGTTCCTTATGTCAGCGACACATCAAAACATGAGCTAAATAGGACTCAAAAGACTATAGTTGCATGACCGCGGCGAAGCACTCGACTTGACTTGACCAACACCTGAAACAGCAGCTGGTGGTTGGTGTTGATAATGATGGTGTGGGCTGGTTGGTACAATGTGGTGTGGTAGTCTTTCTTTTGTTTGCGCTTGGTAGGTAGACTTTCGGGACTGTGAAGTATTTGAAGGTTCTTGCGTGGTCTAACTCGAGAGACAGGAAAGACATAACGAACGGGCTTGATGTGCGCAGTTGCGCGATTCATTTCGTCTTTCTTTTTTTATGGTGTTCTGTCTGTTGTTGACCGGTTGGAAAATTGAACGTAGTGGTTGTCTTGTGATGGTGCCTATGTCTTTCTGTCTTGTGATGGTGATCCGGCACGTGTGGAATTATCAGGGATTGGTTAGCTAGATAAGTAGTGTTTCCATTTATACACGACTAGGTCCGTACATATGTCCATGATCCGAAGGGCGAAGTCTCTTGATCTTTCGGATACAAAGTGCCCACATGGATCATGTTTCACTCGAGATGCTACCCATGGCAGATTAGCTCTCTGGAGCAGATGTGATTAATAGATACATTGTACAGCCCAAGAAGAGAAAGATGCTTGAGAGATATACGCAGTTGTTCCTGTTTTGGATCAGCATCGAGGATTCATTCATTCCGTCACTGCGCAGGTGCGCATGTGAAGAATTAGGTATTATGTATGTATACGTAGCGAAACGTGTAGAACATGGATATAGTCGGCTATCACCTTCTATAATAGTTCCACCGTATTTGACTGGCGCCCAACGAGCTTTCTACAATGTGCGTGGAAGGAGAAGAAGAAGAAGAAGCGAAGCAAGTCGAGGAGGTTGGTTATTTGCCTCTCTGGTCAGATCGGAAACGACCCGTTCTTATGCAAAACCTGATATCTCGAAAGTCCTGGTCGGTCAAGATATCCGAATTGGGTTGTTACCAAGAGTAATACATGTCGGATTATGTACAATGAATTCCATCCGCGCGCAAGGGTATGAGAACAACGAGCGCCGAACAATACTGAGATACACGATTGGGTCAATGACACGAATGGTAACCATTCACACTACACTACATACTATGGTACTTGCAGGACATGCCTATCGGTTAACGTTTTTGCCACCTCAAAGGGGTGTTGCGTCTAAAAATGGCAAGACGAGCGGCCAAGACACGAGGTATGGCATGTGTCGGTTATGCTCATCATGTCTGTCATTAATATGCCGGCAGGCTTCATAATAGAAATCGTAGATCGGTTCGAGTTTGAATCGAGTTCCTGATCATCTTTGCTACCGGCCTGTTTATGAAGAGTCTCGCACCCCTGAACATCAACTGGTACGACATCATGGAAACCTTACCGTACTGTACACGTACGGGTAATTTTTCATTGATGCCCAATCCAGCCAAAGCGATGATCCAGCGGCTCCAGGAAAGCAGGCGGCTGGTCGGAAGGTGGTGCTTGGAAGTTTGAAACCATCGAGACCCTGATGGACCAGGGGTGCAATCGGCCATCCTTATCGATAGTGAGTACGAGGAGGCTCTGAAAGGCGGGCATGCATTGGAGATTCTGTCGTGTGCTACAGCGTTGATTGCCTAAAATCATATTGTATGAGGCTCTGGGAAGCAGTCATTGAAGGCTCATTTTCTGTGTTTGTGTAGTAGCTGGTAGAAACTTGGGCTCGACCGGCGGGTTTGTGGTTCCTACGCACCACCTTTTTCATATGATGTTGTGTTTATGACTGGGAGATATTCCATGGGAAAGTGTAGTGTAACTGGCTCCGTATTCCCCAGGAGTCATCCTCGCACCATGCTGGCGATCAAGCAAGACAGACGTTGATTCTCTTGTAAGGAAGAACGACCGAGATGGTGATACCAGCAGGTGTAGATATGATACTTCGAACATTCGGCTTTCCTTCGGATGACTGCAGAATTCTGGCTCTGGTTCTGGCCAGCCCTATAACACAGTACCGTATACCCACTTGGACAACATGTGTAAATGCACATATGGCTTCCTTAACCGAACACCACTCGATCGATGGAATAGATGAGGCCAAAGTTCTTGTCCCGAAAAGCAGGTCGGGGGATTTTCCTGTGGTTTCTCGATGTCTCACTGGCCAGAGTATGTTATGGTTCGAAGCTTCAAGCTGCATGATTGCGTCACAGAGTCACCCTCAAACCCCGCTGGCACCGCTGAGTGCTGGCGACGCTGCCGCCGGCTGTTTACACTGCACGACCATAGATTTCCCACTTCTCGATTCCGTCTGGACCCCATTTCGGATGTGCTCAACACAACAACGGGGCCGCCGATGGCACGAAAAAATTTCCTCTTCTTTTCTTTTTGTTGGTTTCGCTTCCACATCCCGAAGATTCGGTTGTGAACACGGGATCAATGCGCAAGGAGATGCGACGAGTTCATCCAAACATTTCCACCGAGATTTTGGTCCGATGTTGTGGAAAAATCCCGATGAAATGGAGAAGTATCGGATGACTGGTAGATCATGGTTCGTGTGACTGGGGAGTCAAGGGAAGGCCCGTGTAAACATGTCGACGAATTACGAGGTAGTGAGCGGATGCGATGACGAAGATCACAAGCAAAGATTTTGACCTGTTTCATTCTTACGATTGTGAGTGGAAAGCAATGGAGATGGTGGGGCAGGCTAAAACACACACCTCGGGAACGACAAGGGAGGGGAAGCGGAGGGGAGCATGCCGCCGTAGGAACAAGCGGAGGGGCCGAGACAGAAATTGAAAATCCGCTTGTCTCATGAGCTTCAGCCCGGCCAGTAGGATAGACATTGATGGCTTGAAGCCCAGCGCGACTACACAGCTTTGCTGACTGGATGTCTGAAATCCCGCGCTCTGCCCCGTTGACGGATTCTAGGTCATTCGGAAAACAGACTCGAGACGTTCAAAGTTGTTCGGCTTCTGGTTGGCGTGCTGTCCATCCTCATTGTCCCTGGTTCTGACGGGAATGCTATCACCGTGTGACCTTATGTTCGCTGCCTCAAGGGTTTCCAACACAAAAACAGAAGCAGCCTCATCAGTAACCCCGATAGAGAAGCTATCACTACCTCTCCGTACGCCGTAGAGTCGGTTGTCGACGGCCGCGGCCTGCCTGCCCGCCCGCCCGTAACGCCGTGGGTCCAAACCTTTTCAAAGCCTGTCGCGGCGCAGCACAGCCCTCCTGCAGGACGACGTAAAGACGGAACTCGTGCTGTTGGGCGTTGCGGCTGGGCACCTCATGCAGTTGAGGTTATGCACTAAGCAGCAGCTAGTCAGTGGCTGGTTCCATGTTATAGTTCAAGTCTACCCGCTGGCAGTGGAAACAATCAGTTGTCAACTTTCTACTTCTCGAGCTTGACACAGCCAAAGCCACTGTAAGGCGACGGCATCGCCAGCTCCGGGTCATTAGCCTTGCACGCTTCCTGTTTCCAAAGCTGAGTGTTCGGGAAATGATGGTGACTGCCGGGTGGCTTTGCTGATGGGAAGATTCTAGACTTTGAGGTTGACGGGAGGAACCAAACTGCGCAAACCCATCGGCCATCGTGAGGTCCTGAGTAACGTAACCCGAGTGTAATCAAGCACAATGTAAGGTACCTCAAACCCGTCAACTCAATCGACGGACTCCAGTCTCACACTGCGTAGTTCAATTGGTCTTCACTTTACTAACAACAAGCCTAGATAAACATACGACACACACCGTATCGGTTTTTTCATTCACATGCGTGGTTGAGTTGAAATCGTGTCGCAATGAAACTTGATATTGTCCCTGCTGCTGTTTCTAGGGGACCAGCCCCTCCAGACCCTCCAGGTCTCACACAGCCCGGTACGTACCGTAATGACGCCCCGTTACACCAAGTCGGGCCAGGGGTTTGGTAAGTTTGGATGGAACTTCCACTTGGGAGGGCGCCTCACAGCAAGCGCTGACCGGACGACACTATGTAGTGCGCAAGGATGCAGCTTGTATGAGCAGGCTCCAAGAAATGGAAGGTATTGGGACGGTGGGATGATGACGTTGGTTTCGAGCCCAATTACATTCCCAGGCAATTGGCTGGACGTCCAATGTCACTGACAGAAGCGAATGTCATGGGCGGTTCCTCCCAACCTCAACAAGCTCAATCAGGGCATTCACGGAGAGAAAAAGCACTTCGACATGGCCAGAAACTGGTCACGAAGCGGGCCGGACCTTGAATCTTCATCAGACCCAGCTCAACTTTGCTTCGGTAATGCACCTAGTATCACATATCATGCTACGCCCCGGTGTCTGTTCCACTGGAGGAGGAAACGAGTTGGAGTGTGTGCCAGTCAGGGCAGTTACCTACAGTCACTCCTCCCCGGTGCCCGTTGCTGCGCAGTTAGGTTCCAGAAGTGAGTGGGTTTCGGGAGCCTTCTTCTCCATGCCCCTCCCCGTCACTGCCTCCTTCCCGAAATGCGTTTGTCTGTTTCTCCTCCTCCGTATCTCGTCGTCTCCAGAGTTTTTGTCCTTCAGACTCCAAGTTCATATCTGTAGTCCTCTCAGCTGGTCATCAGAGTCTTCTCGTAGGTTCCTGGCAAAGAACATAGGTGCCCAGATCGGTCCTAACCGCAGCCCAACCACACGAATTCCAGGGCCGACAGTCATCCATCACATCATCAGCAGGCCCCCGGTTAAGAGCTGAGGAAGGAACTTGGTAGCTTGCCAAGATCACGGTCACACGCCCACTCTCTTCCACTCGCCCACCCTGTCTGTCCACTTCCTAGTCTCAAACCAACCCCGCCCTTCCTACTCCCACCCTCTCTGTCCACGAGTTCCTTCTCCCGGCTTCCCCTCTTACTTAAACGTCAGGCTCTGCCACATCCCGCAGCCTGGAAGAAGGCTGGCTTGAGAAATTTTCATAACCCAGTCATCACCCCGCTGCCCTGAGAACCCAAACTTCACTTGGTCATCCATCCATCCATCCTCTCTCGGTCCTTGACTAGCTAGCTGTTCATACCACCACCCAACAACAACAACAATCACAGAACAACCACCACCACCACAACAACAACAACAACAACAACAACACATATCATACATCACTAGCGACTATGGCCAGCAGAAGCCGGGTCGAGTTCGACGACTACTACAGGGAGTCCCCCCGCCGCGCTCCTAGCCGCGGTCCCAGCCGTGCTCCTAGCCGTGGCCCTCCTGTCCGCTACGCGGATGAGGACATCGATATTCACGTCCATGACCGTACTCCCGCCTTCCTGCGTGAGGACAGGCGCTCCGATGCAGGTCAGCTGGTGCTGAGGCAGAGGGAGGTTGAGACTGTTGAGCGTCCCAGGCGAAGGTCACCCAGCCCTGTGCACATGCACGAGCGCATCGTCCACAGAGCTAGGAGCGTCAGCCCTGAACCCCGGAGACGCACAGAGGAGTCGGACATTCATATCCATTCCATCGACCGTGTCCGCGAGTCTAGCCGCCCTCCTGCTGACAGGATTCGCGCAAGCACCCGCATTATCGAACGTCAGAGGAGCCCGTCTCCTCCCCGCATGGACAGGCTTGAGATTCGGGAAACTCAGCGGGAACGCCAGCGACCCCGCTCCCCTTCGCCTGACCGGAACATCCGTGAGCACATTCGCATTGTTGAGAGGGAGAGGGAGAAGGAGCGTGAACCCAGCCCGCCACCTCAGCCTCAGCAGCCTCAGGTCATCAAGGGACCTGTCATTGAAAGAGAAGTCATCACTCACTACCGCGATATCGACCATGGTATGTCACTTGTCCAACCCATACGCCAAAATTTGCGTTTGCTGGATGCTAACACATTCAAGGCATGATCTCCGTCCGCCCACCATCTCGGCCTGCCTCCCCAGTTCGCCGCAAGCAGCCGCAGCTTTCCGAGACCGAAATTGACATCTACACCTCTCGCAAGGACACCGAAATTGACATCCACAGGCACGCCTCTCGGAGCCGTGGCCGCTCTCAGGAGCGCCGCTCGCCAAGGAACGCTTATGATGACGATCTACTGATCCATGCCGATACCGGTCGCCTCCATGTCGACGTTGAGCGTCGCCGCAGCGTCTCCCGCAGCGGCCGTCGTGCCCATTCCGAGGCTCCTCCCCACATTGACTTTGACGATGAAGCTAGATACATCACGTCCAAGATTGACTCGAGGGGCCAGATGGGTGAGGCGTACAACGGTATCACCAAGGACTGGACCATCATCGATGTTCCTCCCGGAACCGAGCGCGTACGATTGGATGGTGCCGGTGGTGCCTCTGCCGAGGTCACATGGCAGAAGTACAGTGGAGTTAGGCGCTCCCAGTTCATCCCTGAGCGTGATGAGAGGAGTGTAGTTTCTGCGTCCTCTGCTTCTGACCGTGACCATGACCGTGAGCGCGAGCGTGAGCGTGACCGTGACGCCCGCGATAGCAGACTCAGCATTCAGATCTACAACGAGCGGGGCGGTGATGAGCGGGAGAAGCGCATCAGCATCCACGGCTCGCAGAACCCCCGTCGTAGCGAGATGTGGACCGAGATCACCAAGGATCTCGTCACTCGTGAGGCCATTGAGGAGCTTGGTTATGACTACGAGGAAACCGAGTACTTCTTCTACATCATGCAGTACCTGCGCTATGTAAGTTGCCTTCCCTGTCGAACTCATACTTTCTGGGCTAGTCACTAATGTTGGTAAACAGGAGGATGTTCTTCGCTGTGTTCAGCTTTCCGACAAGATTCGCCAGGCTCGCAAGGACCGCATTCGCGAGATCCAGTGGGAGCGCGAGTACAATCGCGATGATTACGAATTCCGTGATCATTATCACAACCCTCACAGCCACAGCCGTCATCGCTCGCGCGATGATCGCTGGGACGACGAGCGCGAGCGTATCGTCGAGCACGAGGTCATCTATGACAGCAGGGCCGGGAGCAGGTACCGCTAAACGCTCACACGACTATAGACTTGGCACGCTATGTACGGGAAGGTAATACCAAGCGCGTTGGGTGAAAGGGTTCTGCTTTTCATTCTATTGTCATCTTCTGCCTATACAATATTTTTTTTTCCTCCTTTGGGTTGTTTTGGAAGGTTCATTTTGGTTAATCATGTTACCCCTCACGTCATGTCAAGATGTATGTTGTGTTTGGTTGTTATTTTGGATGGTTGATATTATGACTTATGATGAAACAGAAAACATTATGAAGATGATGAACAATTCATGTATGCGATGAATGTCAATGAGCCCCGCATTCAGGATGCTGGTTATATGTACGTTTCATGGCTGGAGGAGCTGGAGAGGGGCGGTGTAGTGATGATATTCTTAGACCAAGAAAGCATATACCCAAAAGGTACCGTAGACGACTCTTTACGTCGTTTTGTGACCAATCTGTGCCCCATGACTTTGTTTACTGTTAACGATTTCCACTATACTTAGTATTCCAATATTCCATTTTATACGCAGTGTTTGTTTCAGGCAGCTCAGGTTTGTACGAGCAGTCACCCAGAACCTCGGACGTAAGTGATGATTTGTGACCTTGTCGTCGTTTGTACTACAGTTGGACAAAGTGTACCATGAGCAGATCAAGCAAACAAAGGGAAAAGGGGGTGGCGAACCATTTTCTCAAACCAGCTATACCGCCCTGGGAGTGTCAGTTTGCTGTACACTAGAACTCCTGGTTGAAATGACTGCGCGGTATTCGCTGTTTCATGAGCACGCTGCTGGAACTCAAAGTTCAGCGTTGAACACACCAAATGGTTCGAACCCATATAATGTTAACTTTTCTCTTTTCCCGCTATAAGAGGTAACAGAACCTTGCCAAGCAGGCCGACTAGTACCAATGTGGAATGCGTCTATACCGTAAGATAGAATTGAGTTTCCTATACGTGCATCCGGGTCTCAACCACCAGCCGAATGACTCTTTGTGAAGATATACCAGGGGTAGAGTATGTTTGTGGGTATGTTTTTGTAACGATAAGTCGTTGACCGATCCAGCTGGACAAAGGTACATTGTCTTTGGAGACCTAGCCCTCTTGTACTTCAATCCTGAGTCTCATCCAGTGACAGTTTCGAGAAACGATACGCCTCGTTTACGTCCAACATCCGTATCCACTTCCGCTCCCGCCTTTGGTGCTTGACATTCAATCGTCAAAGCCAACGGGCGATCCCCCTCACCCAACCAGTTTTGCTAATCAACCGCTGTATCACCTATGTATCCAAGTCCATGTCCCCAAGTCCCAGAAAGAGTTATGTCTCATCTTGAGCTTCTTAAGCAGACAGCACCGATGACGACGGTCCATTTGCCAAGAGGTGCTTGACGATTTCATCTAGACTACCGCCGCCCTGCGTGTCAGCGGGGCCCGAGGCAGTCCACTTCCACTCATGCTGAACACGCTTGCCGTCTTCCATATAGTCTCCGGTGACGCGTAGCTCTGGCTCTTTTGCTGCATCGCCAACCTCATCACCGCGAGTGTAGTTCGAGGTAAAAGCAAACCGGACGCCAAACGTCTCGGTGTCGTCGTCTACTAGACCCAGGTCATCTGGGTGGATGATCCAGGTTGTAGTATTACGAGCAGGAGGAATTGGGGTATC